GACAAAATAATTTAGGCTGTGGTAATGAAGGTTTACCGTATGTAACTGAATACTGTCCTGAAAGTGAAAAACAGTATCGTGTGGGTGCTCGAAGTACAGTTTCTACTGAATGCGTATTGCTTTTGCACCACAGTTAAAGTTTAAAAATAAATAAATAAAATCGGTCAGTGGGGCCAGCAGATGGCATAGTGGTTAAGGTGGCCAGATGCACCTTGACTTACAATGAGGTTAGGTCCCAATAAACCCATTATAAGTGGAAAACATCAGGCCAGCAGGTGGCGTAGTACTTAAGACACTGGACTCCCCCATGGCTGACCACAGACCCAGCAACTTGAAATTCACACTAGGTGCATGTGCATGTGTGCATCCCCCAAATCCCAGGAGAATGGAGGAGAGGGGATTGAAGCATGGACATCCCCTCTGGGAGGTGATTTCTCACTTTCTGTCTCTCTGGCAAGCACATGGACCCCATAGCAAAAATTTCTCCAAATAAATTAATTAAATAAGTGGAAAACACCCCAAGCCTAAAATGCATTTAACACACCTGGCCTGCTGACCATCACAGCCTGGGCCATGCCAAGGTCATGCAGTTCTCACATGTGGGAGTACCTTGTAATGCCAAGAACACTTACCTTAGCCTACAGCTGGACAAAATAATTTAGGCTGTGGTAATGAAGGTTTACCGTATGTAACTGAATACTGTCCTGAAAGTGAAAAACAGTATCGTGTGGGTGCTCGAAGTACAGTTTCTACTGAATGCGTATTGCTTTTGCACCACAGTTAAAGTTTAAAAATAAATAAATAAAATCGGTCAGTGGGGCCAGCAGATGGCATAGTGGTTAAGGTGCTGGACTCCCATGTGGTCAACTGCAGTTCGGTCCTGACCTGGTGGCTTAAAACACACCTGGCATTGGGGACCAGCAGATGGAAGAATGGTTACATCACTTGATTTCCACATAGTCAACTGTGGTTTGAGATCTGAACCCGGTCAGGCAAAAAACAAACAAACCAACCAACCCTCACATTAGGCATACATGCATGCACGCCCAAAAACATCCCAAGACGAGGATGGAGGAGAGGGGATTGCAGGTGCAGCCCTCCTCCCTGGGGATGATTTCCCTCTTTCTGTCTCTCTGTCTCTTTAAAAAAAAGAAAAAAAAACAGGCATGTATGTGCATGCCCAAAATCCCAAGAAGAGAATGGAGAAGGGATTACAGTGTGGCCATTCCTCCGGGTGGTCATTTCTCACTTTTTTTTTTTTTCAGAGAAAAGTTTTTCCTATAGGGCATGTATATTTGCCAGAGAAACAGAGACAGAGAGACAGAAAGCAAGAAATCACCCCCCAGGGGGATGACCACGCTGCAATCCAGTCTCCTCTCAGGATGTTTTTGGGCACACATGTACACGCACCCAGCACTAGTTTTAAGCCACCAGGTCCAGAACTTGAACCACGGTTGACTATGTGGGAGTCCAGCGATGTAACCATCCTGCCATATGCTGGCCCCATGATTTCTCACTTTCTGCCTTTGTCTCTCCCTGTCTCTTTGGAGGACATGTGCCCTATAGCAAAAATCTCTAAGGAAAAAAAAAAAAATGTAAATTAAGGGGCCAGCAGGTGGCGTGGTGTTGAGGGGCTAAACTCCCACATGGATGACTGTGGTTCAAGTCCTGTACTTGGCAGCTTACTTTCTCACTTTCCCTCTCTCTGTCTCTGTCTCTGGTGAGCATGCATGCCCTATAGGAAATTAAAAATAACTGTTCTCATGGCTCTGCACCTCTGCAAGTGCTCCCATTGCCTGGAATGCCTGAACTCCAGCCCCCTCTTCTCTGCTTGAATCCCCTCTTTTTAAAGGCTGGTTGAGCATCCCTTTATCCTGCAAGCCCTTCTTGATTATCCCCAGCCCCTGCAGCCCCCTGCCAGATGCACCTTGACTTACAATGAGGTTAGGTCCCAATAAACCCATTATAAGTGGAAAACATCAGGCCAGCAGGTGGCGTAGTACTTAAGACACTGGACTCCCCCATGGCTGACCACAGACCCAGCAACTTGAAATTCACACTAGGTGCATGTGCATGTGTGCATCCCCCAAATCCCAGGAGAATGGAGGAGAGGGGATTGAAGCATGGACATCCCCTCTGGGAGGTGATTTCTCACTTTCTGTCTCTCTGGCAAGCACATGGACCCCATAGCAAAAATTTCTCCAAATAAATTAATTAAATAAGTGGAAAACACCCCAAGCCTAAAATGCATTTAACACACCTGGCCTGCTGACCATCACAGCCTGGGCCATGCCAAGGTCATGCAGTTCTCACATGTGGGAGTACCTTGTAATGCCAAGAACACTTACCTTAGCCTACAGCTGGACAAAATAATTTAGGCTGTGGTAATGAAGGTTTACCGTATGTAACTGAATACTGTCCTGAAAGTGAAAAACAGTATCGTGTGGGTGCTCGAAGTACAGTTTCTACTGAATGCGTATTGCTTTTGCACCACAGTTAAAGTTTAAAAATAAATAAATAAAATCGGTCAGTGGGGCCAGCAGATGGCATAGTGGTTAAGGTGCTGGACTCCCATGTGGTCAACTGCAGTTCGGTCCTGACCTGGTGGCTTAAAACACACCTGGCATTGGGGACCAGCAGATGGAAGAATGGTTACATCACTTGATTTCCACATAGTCAACTGTGGTTTGAGATCTGAACCCGGTCAGGCAAAAAACAAACAAACCAACCAACCCTCACATTAGGCATACATGCATGCACGCCCAAAAACATCCCAAGACGAGGATGGAGGAGAGGGGATTGCAGGTGCAGCCCTCCTCCCTGGGGATGATTTCCCTCTTTCTGTCTCTCTGTCTCTTTAAAAAAAAGAAAAAAAAACAGGCATGTATGTGCATGCCCAAAATCCCAAGAAGAGAATGGAGAAGGGATTACAGTGTGGCCATTCCTCCGGGTGGTCATTTCTCACTTTTTTTTTTTTTCAGAGAAAAGTTTTTCCTATAGGGCATGTATATTTGCCAGAGAAACAGAGACAGAGAGACAGAAAGCAAGAAATCACCCCCCAGGGGGATGACCACGCTGCAATCCAGTCTCCTCTCAGGATGTTTTTGGGCACACATGTACACGCACCCAGCACTAGTTTTAAGCCACCAGGTCCAGAACTTGAACCACGGTTGACTATGTGGGAGTCCAGCGATGTAACCATCCTGCCATATGCTGGCCCCATGATTTCTCACTTTCTGCCTTTGTCTCTCCCTGTCTCTTTGGAGGACATGTGCCCTATAGCAAAAATCTCTAAGGAAAAAAAAAAAAATGTAAATTAAGGGGCCAGCAGGTGGCGTGGTGTTGAGGGGCTAAACTCCCACATGGATGACTGTGGTTCAAGTCCTGTACTTGGCAGCTTACTTTCTCACTTTCCCTCTCTCTGTCTCTGTCTCTGGTGAGCATGCATGCCCTATAGGAAATTAAAAATAATAATAAATTAAATAAATATTTTTTAAAATTCTAAGTCAAATACTCTGAAGTTGGTTGCCATCTGGATGAGTCTCATAGCTATCCTGGACCCCTGGACTCCTCGGTCTCATCTTCGTGTCCTCAGCACACTCAGCCTGCTTCACGGCAGACGTTAGACACATTTGTTGCATCAGAAGGTGCTAAAGACACGGAGAAAGAGAGTGGGCTTGCTGGAGAGAGAAAAGCAGAACTGGGACCCAGCAGCTTCATCAAGAAGAAATGGGCCCACATTTAAAGATAGCCTAGGTCTCCTTGCAAACCTCAGTGGCCTAAAACAACCAAAGCTGATTTCTCACCAAAGCCAAGTGAATGTCCCTTGTGAGCCAGCAGGGGGCTCTGCCCATGACAGTCACTCAGGGACCCAGGCTGATGGAGCAGCCCGCCACCTCTAACAGATCACCTTGCCAGATCACCTTGCCAGAAGGCAGGAGTTCTGGGGGATCCCAGGGAGCAGGAGTTCTGGTGGATCTTGCTGCAGCAGAGTCAGGTGTTCCCTTCCCAATCACAGGGGCCGAGGTGCAGTCCCCACACGCCCAGCAGCAGGGAGGAAGCTGGGAATGCCAGCTGGAGCACAGGGCTACCAGGACATCCTCCCTTCCTGCTGTGAGAGTCCTACTGCCAGAAGCTGCCGGTGTTATCAGCAGGTAGGTCTCTCTGAGCATCAGGCTGAGGTGGCTCTCAGCTCTGCTCCTGTTCTGGTGTCACTGTGGTAGGGGTGGGGCTGGCAAAGGAAACCACCAGGTGTGGCCATGGGAAAGTCCCTCACCGTTCTGTAGAAACATGGAATTTCCTGGTTTTAACCATTTCTTATCCAACCACCATCTCGGAGCTGGCTGGAGAGACAGAGACCTCTCCAGCCTCCTCGGACATTCGAGTCAGGGCCCCACTCCTAGCTGGGATGCTGGCACACCTGAGTTCCAGCCCCAGGAAGATCAAGCACAGATCACCAAAAGCATGTGGACCTCGACGCCTTCAATGCGTGTCAGTAAAACACTGTCCAGTCTCTTCAGCTTTTCCGAAGATATCGCTCCACGCTGTCCACACGCTCCGTGGGTATGCCTCAAGACCCTCAAGCTGTGGGTGAGAGCTGGTTAGACGGTTGTGGGCTGTGCTCAAGGTCGCACTGAGGGGGCATACCCTGGGTTCCGGTCTTGCTCTGGGGCCTCTGCAGGCTCCCCAGGAATGTGAGTCAGATCCAGCTTTCTTAGGAGAGGCTGGGCATGGGCCCTGGACCTCCCTGGGGCTCCAGGGTGTGGGAGCACAGTCTTCCCGGGCAGCTCTGCTCTGGGCTAACTTGCCCAACCTGCTCTGTTGACTGCGCATAGCCCTGAACATAGCCCTGAACGCCCCTGCTCCACGAACTGTGGGAGACGCCAAACAGCACCCGGCAGCCTGCCAAGCCCAGTTCCTGGCCTCTTTGTGGCTGAGACTCTGGTCCTGTCTCCTCCACTTGGAAGCTCACTGTATCATCATTCTCCTTCCTGCTGGGGTGGAGGCCGCTGCTGAGTTGCCTCTGTCTCTTTAAGAGAGAGAGAAAGAGAGAAATCAGGAAGTGAGAGAGCTGAGCCAGGACTGCTGAGCGGTGCGTGCGGGGGCCACGGGTAGCAGGCAGAGGCAGGGAGGCTGCAAGGAAACCCACTGGTCCCAGTTCCCGCGGTGCCAGGAAATCATTTCACCTGGTCCTGCCCGAGAGTCCCAAGGCCTGTGGCCACCAGGATGCAAAAAGCACTGCCCTTGAATAACTGAGCCCTGAAAGCTCCCGGGGTGCCAGCCCAGCCAGGAGTCCCACAACCCGCATCCCTGCAGCTGAGATGGGGTGAGTTCTAACGTCCACGGAGGAGGGTGGGATGGGACGTGGCTGGGCAGCTGCAGGCGACACTTCGCTGACTGCCTATCCTTCCCAGTGTGTCTCTGGGACTGTTGGGTCCCCAGAGGCGTCCTCGCCTTGGCTCTGGCAGCTCTCTTGAAAACGACTGCTTGCAGCCAGATAGAGGTGGGGGAAGTGGCCGCTGAGGAGAGCTCTCACCCACCGGCAACGCCCCCTCCCCAGCTCCGCCTGCATTACTCCTGCCAGAGCTAAGCATCTGGAGCTGCCCTCATCTCTCCTGGGGTCTTTCTCCGTGGCCAAGTCCCAGGGGTGGAGCGGCCAGGAAAGTCTCCGGGAACACCTGGGGAATAGGGCTGGAAACTCCCCCAGCCCCGTGGAGGAGGGTGACAAACAGGAAAGGGTTAAAGGGCTGGGGCCAGGGCGGCCTTTGATGGAGGCTGAGAATCAAAGGGCACCAAGGGGCGCCTCTCATCCGCCCTCCTCTTTCCGGTAGCTCATCTCCTGGATTTGCCCCAGACCGACAGCATAACACACACTTGCTGGGGAGAGCCTTTGCCTGATCAGGGCTGCTTGGACATCGGTAAGTGGGTTTGGTCCCAGTAGAGTCCCGGCAGGGAAGGGCAGGTGGGAGTGGGCTGGCTCAATGGCTTGCCAAACACTGGGAGGGCTTCTGGCTGTGGGTGCACCAGGTGGAGGCGGGCTGCAGAGGATGCAAAGTGGAACCGGAAGTGCCATAGTCAGAGCTCCTAGTCCTGCGCTCACAGACCCCAGGCTCTGCCTTTGACCACACTGCCCATTATCAGGGCACTGTCCAGTGTCCCGGCACGAGGGCCCAGGTGGAAGAGCAGCTGGCTGACGACTCCTCTGCCTCAGGGGAAAACGCTGACCAACTCATTCATCCTGAGCTATGCTAGTGCACTGGTTGCTTCTGCCCAGTGCAAGCACTGACAATCTGAAGAGCTGGCCTCTGATCTCTGCAGGTGCCCTCTGCCCAACCTTAAGGAACTGCCATTCTCATTTTTTTTTTTTAAGAATCATTTTTATTTAACTATATTATTATTATTTATTTTCCAGTTTGTTCAGAGGGAAACAGAGAGAAAGAGAGGGAAAGTGAGAAAGCAAGCCACCAGGTCCAGGACTCAAACCTCTGTAGGCCATTTGGGAGTTCAGTGCCTCTAACTGCTATCCCACCTGCAGGCCAGAACTGACATTCCTAAGGATTTGCATTTTTAAGAAAGATTACAGAGAAGGGGCCCAAAGCTAAGCACTTTAGGATTCCAGACAAGGCAGCCCTCAGTTGGGGAACCTATGTAATGTTAGAACAGGAAGCAGCGGTGTAGTCCGAACTTAAACTGCTCAAGGGATGGTAGGCTCCTGCCCCCCAGGAATCCCAAAAGACCAACCTGGCCCTATTTTTCAGAAGCATTGACTTTAACTTCTGAGGCTGCACTTTCTGGAACCAATTGCTTGAGAGGAACTGGCCTTCAGAGAGAATAGGATGCAGGCAGCAGAGATGGGGAATGGGACTCAGAGGAGTTTTGGATCCTCCCCTAAGAAGGATCTGCTAAGCCTTTGGGTTTGTTGGTCTCTTGCCTCTCCCATCCCCTGCTCTTTCTGTCTCTCTCTCTGTCTCTCTCTCTCTCTCTCTCTCTCTCCCACACACACACACACACACACACACACACACACACACACACACACACGAGTCCTCTACAACAACCCGGACCCTCGCAGGAGCAGCACTGACCTGGCAGAGCTGGCTGCCTGGCTCACAGCGCTGCTTGACTGGGAGCCCTTCCTCCTGCACTGTTTCTGCTTCCTGGGACAATCCCAAGCCTGGATGCCAAAACCCCAGAATTCTCAGTGCCTGGAAGAGGTGACAGAGAGAAGAGGTTTGTCTCTGCGGGATGGCCTGGGGAGAGAAGGCCTCGCTGGATCAGACAGCAGGCTTTGGCCAAAGGCCCAGTGTGGGCTCTCTTGCTACAGGGCTGTGCTTCGTTTGGGGAAGTTACTTAACCTTTCTGTGCATCACACTTCCCCCATTCTCCTGCCTAGAGAATGACCACATGTGAGCCCTTCCCGGGGTGGTTTGGGGCGTGGCTGCTGGTCAGGCCACCAGTGTCCACCATAGACCAGGAATGGGATCTGGCCCCCAGCATGTGCTTTCCTAGGTGGACGCTGGCCAGTCAGCCGGGGTAGGAGATGCAGAGCACTGCCAGCTACCTGTGGCACTCAGACGACCTGCTGGGCCAGGGGGCCACTGCCAGTGTATATAAGGCCCGCAACAAGGTAGGGAGCTACCTGGGCTCAGCCCTCTCCCCCTCGTGCCTGGGAAGCAGGCTGGGGCATCCCCCAGTGGACATCCAGGGTATGTGGCGAGACAGGGACCTCTGGGCTCCACTCTGTACATGCCAGGGGAGGACCCTGTGAGTTTGAGCAGAGGTAGGGGAGCTGAAAAGGGCTCCTCGGGATGCTGCCTCGGTCAGGCACGAGTTGGGGCATGAGAAGGATGAAGTCACCAAGCAAACACCCAAGGGCGGTGGCAGCTCTGGGTGGAGGAGCAGCAGGGGTGGGCAGGAGGACGGTGGTACCCTGAGCTCACTGCAGAGCTGTGTTAGGCCCTGTGAGATGGTGGCCACAATTGCACACTGAAGAGACTGAGTCAGGCAGAACAGGTTCCAATCCCTGTTGCTGCTGACACCAGGCAGCATTAACTGCCACTGTAGCAACAGTAAGAACAAAAGCCATCATCCTTGTCACCTCCTGGTGCTGGACCGTGTCCCCCTGAGTGGAGGACGGAGCTAAGGGTGGCAGGCCATCTGTTCATCTCTGGCTGGGTTGCTGTGAGAGGCTGCATGGAGATGTGGGAGAGGGTGGCTGCTGCCTGCAGGGGAGGGACTCGTATTCTCCTTTGCTGTCCCCCCACACGCCCGCCCCCACCCCCAGAAATCTGGGGAGCTAGTTGCTGTGAAGGTCTTCAACACCGCCAGCTACCTGCGGCCCCACGAGGTGCAGGTGAGGGAGTTCGAGGTCCTGCGGAAGCTGAACCACCAGAACATCGTCAAGCTCTTTGCCGTGGAGGAGACGGTGGGTCCAGGGCTCGGTCAGAGGAGGATGATCTCGTCCTTGACCTTCATGATCTGGGCAGTGTCCTGGACACTCAGGAATAGAGACGTGGTCACATGCCCATCAGCTGGTCAGACAGAGCAGACAAACTAGGGGGGGGCGGTGAGAATGTAAGAGGTGTGAGGACCACACCTGGGAAAGGATTGGTGGGCTGGGTACCTAATCCGAGAGGACTTTCGGGAAGGGGAACCGTGGATTCCCATGTGTGGGATCAGTGTGAGGTCAAGGAGGAAAGGCCAGGCCGGGAGTTAGAGAATCGGGGTGCTGGCCGGGCCACCTCTTGCTGGTGAGTGTGGAGAAGAGCCCGTCTTCCCACCGCAGGGGGGCAGCCGGCAGAAGGTGCTGGTGATGGAGTACTGCTCCAGCGGGAGCCTGCTGAGCGTGCTGGAGAGCCCCGAGAACGCCTTCGGGCTGCCCGAGGAGGAGTTCCTGGTGGTGCTGCGCTGTGTGGGTGAGCCCCCC